CCCCGGGGGCGCGGCGAAGGTGAGGGAAGAAGGAGAGTGTGGGGAGGACGAGAGGGCGAGGGGAGAAGAGAAGGAGGGGGAGAAGAGGAGGAGGGGGAGAAGAGGAGGAGAGGAGGGGAGAGGGGGAGAGGAGGAGAGGGGGAGAGGAGGAGAGGAGGAGAGGAGGAGAGGAGGAGAGGAGGGGAGAGGAGGAGTGCAGGGTTGCTGCGCCTTTTTGATGATTGAGTCGACGCACGAGACAGAGACGACGGTGCCGCTCGGGCGGAGGAAGGCGGCGGGGTTGGTGTTGGAGAGGGCCTTCTTCGAGAGCGGGCAGATGTACCTGACAGCCCGGGCCGGACCTCGGGGCATGGAGGGCGGCGGCCTCGCTGCGCCTCTCGCTGCGCGGCGGTGCGTCTCGGCGGTGCGTCTCTTACGGGGAGATGTGGGGAGATGCGGGGAGATGTGGGAGATGCGGGGAGATGTGGGGAGATGCGGGGAGATGCGGGGAGATGCGGGGCAGGTGCAGGGAGAGGGGCGTAGGTGCGGGGAGATGCGGGGAGATGCGGGGAGATGCGGGGCAGGTGTGGGGAGATGCGGGGCAGGTGCAGGGAGATGCGGGGAGATGCGGGGAGATGTGGGGAGATGCGGGGAGATGCGGGGCAGATGCGGGGAGATGCGGGGAGATGCGGGGAGATGCGGGGAGATGTGGGGAGATGCGGGGAGATGCGGGGAGATGCGGGGCAGGTGCGGGGAGATGCGGGGAGATGCGGGGCAGGTGCGGGGAGAGGTTGCCTCTCATTGCGCGGCTTCGCGAGCGTCTCGGCGGAGGTGAGGGACTCGTCAGCGCGCGTGAAGGAGAGCGGGTAGAGCTGCCTGTCGGGGCGTGTCGCGGACATGTGACGGCCGTGTGCCGCCTCTGCAGTGTGTGGAGCACGGAGCGGCGTCTGCTTGAGCTTGAGGGGCTCGTTCGTGATCGGGCAGCGGACCTGCGGTTCGGGTTCGGGTTCGGGTTAGTGATAGGGCAGCGGACCTGCGGCGCACAGGCGCACACGAGAGCACACCAGAGTCGGGCACGCACCCTCTCGAGATAGAGATCTCGAGCGCTACTCGGAGCACGTCCGTCTCTCCTCAGCACCCGGGCCTCTGTTAGCACCCGGGCCTCTCCGCAGCACCGGGTCTCTCCGCAGCACCGGGTCTCTCCTCAGCATCTACAGCAGCGGACGACTCCGTCGGGCTTGTCCAGAAGGCTCCTGTGGAGAGACGGGACGGTGTGAAGAGGCGCCGATCACAAGCGCCGAGCACACCGCGTCCCCCGCGCTTCGAGGCGAGGGCAGCGAGTGCGGCTGCGACACAGCGGGCGGGTGCGGCCCGGAGCAGCCTCTCCTCGAGCGCTAGTGTGAAGACGACTGCTCATTCTCTCTCTCTCTTTGCATCTAGGCGCAGCGTGCTTGGACTGCGGCGTCAGCTGCGGGACCCAAAAGCTGGTGTCCGCCGCGTGCTTGCCGGTGTCCTCCACGAGCGTGCGGCCTGCCCAACACACCGAGCCGTGAAGAACCCCCCCCCCCCCTTTCGGCCAGGGCGCGCGCGCACCCATCAGCGCGCCGACTGCGCCGCCGGAGGACGACGGGTCGCTGGGTCGGCGGGAGGCGAGGTCGGACTTGGAGAGGCCCTCCTGCCTCGCCACGAACTCCTCCACCCGCTGGTCCGCCGCGCGCGCCGCCTCGCTCGCCGCGCCCGCCGCCTCTGCCTCCTGCTGCGCCGTCCACGCGCGCAGCTCGCGCTCAATCTCCGCCTTGCGGTCGAGGATGTACTGGTAAATGACCTGCTTGTCGTAGACGACGCCCTTGGGCGTGATGACGGGATCGACGCACGGCACTAGCGTCAGGCTGCACGCGTCCAAGTCCTTCATCGCGTCGCTGTCGAGCGTCCGCTTGTGGCTGCCCCAGCCAGTGTCGACGAAGTTCCCTCCGGCGGTGTTGTGGCCGCCAAGGAGGCCCGAGGAGTGGCGGCCGTACTTGGCAGCCTGCCGCTCCGCGTGCGAGAAGAAGGCGCGCTCGTTGTTGTTCTTGGAGTGCTTTCCCATGACGGCTGCGGCTAGTGGTGCGCGCTGCTGCCCGCCGGCGCGCGAAGAAGAATTTTACCATGCGAAAAAGAAACCGGTCCGCTACCGGCTAAGGTGTCTGTCCTCGACCCAGCCCTAGCTTGGGATGTCCGTTTTATTTATTTATTTATACAGCTCGGCATCACTTGTTTCCTCTTTCTCAGAATTAAGAAAATTACATCCCTGTATCAAACCAATACGCAATAGCAACCGAGTCGTGGTCGTGGTAGCCTCGACGCCCCCCACGCGTGCCACTGCCGGCGCAGCCTCCGCCGCCGCCTTCGAACATCAGCCAAGCGGGCTTTGCTCGAGCCTGAGCGATGCCGTCGACGCAGGTCTGCTTCTAGCGCGCCTTGCATCTCTCAGGCGAGAACCGTCTGGAGGAGCTTCTCAGTCTGTACGAGCAGGCCGCCCTCCGACGCGAGGCCCACCATCGCGTTCGCAGCATCAACGGTCTGCACGATCGTGCTCCCCGCCTCGAGGTCCAGAATCTCGCGGATGCGTAACCGTCATGACGTGAACTTTCCATAGTCTCTAAAGAAAGAAAGAAAACAGACAAAAGGAGGGATGGGAGGACGGCCGTGCGATTACCTGTTTTAGTGCCAGTGCGCGCCAGTCCCGTGCCTCGTGTCGTCTGCTAAAATTCTTTTTCTGGCGTTCGCTTCGGGATTTTCTGGTGGACTGAACGGATGCTCACACTGCTGGTCCTGCTGCGGCACGCGGAGGCAGCGGCCACAATCGCGAGTCCCTGCTTCCCGGCACCGGGTCCGTGCCTGCTAGAGCCAAAAACGTGGGGCGCACGCGCCGGCAGCAGCGACTGGGGGTTCTCTGGTGTGAGTGGTGCGAGCGCCGGTGCCGGTGCGGCGCTGCTGCTGTCGATGGCCCTCGTCGCTGCCGCGCTCGCGCTGCGTGGTCGCGTATATGCTCGCCGCGCCTCAACAGCTGTAGACCAGCCGCCGGCGACAGAGCTTACGCTGCTCCCGTTTAGCCAAGGGCTCTCGATGCTCGGGCTCGCGGCGCAGCTCGGCGCGGCGGCCGCCGCGGCGCCCGGCGAGGCGCGTGCCGCCGCCGAGACGCCGCTCCAGGCCGAGCGACCGCACGGGCATCAGGCCACGACCACCCAGTACCAACTGTTTCCCCCTGAGTAGCCCCGCGAGGCCCGTTGAACCCTCTCTCTTCGCGGATGGCGGATCGCAGCGCGCCGACGCGAAATGCGCCGAGCGTGGAGCTCGTTGCGCGTGGCCGAAGCAGGTAGCACGCGCTGGGGGAAACAGTTGTACTATTGTTGGCTGAAATCCTCAACGTTGTTCAAGTGTTCTCCCCAGCCCAAGCTGTTACTGTTTGTTACTGTTGTTACTGTTGTTCAGTGGTCAGCAAGCAGAAAATGCCAAAACCCCCGGGTAAACCCCGAAAATACCTGGGGTTTCCCGGGTATTTTCGGGTATTACCCGCACTGGACGCTGGAGATCGTCGTGGGTCAAACTGCCAGGCCTTCCTTATTATATGCTTATTGTTGTGTTCAGGCCGGCCTAACGTTAGCTACTGTTTTGTTGGGGAGCCCCACTGTTGTTCTGTTCACTGTTGTTACTGTTAACACTAGCAACACTGTTCAGCTCTTAACGTTTGACAACCCTAAGCGTCTCGCGTCTCGGCCCGTCGCAACGCGAATTTTGTACCCGAGTCGGTGCCCGGCGCCGACGACACTGTCGGTGTGAATATTTTGCAGTACTTTCAAGGGTTGTGTACTAATCTATTTCCCCTCGCGCGGGGGCTGAGCCAATGTAGCCGAGACTCGCGTCGAGAGTGTGCCCCCGCCCCCCCCGGTGGCATCACAGGAACGAGCGACGCGTTCACACCTGATCCCTAGAGTAGCAAAGACGCGCCTGCTGTGGCCTCAGTCCTCGCAGTCGGCCGCCTCGGCTGTGAGCTCCTCGAGCAGCTCGCGTATCGTTTCCACGTACCCCATCTCCGTCGCCTCCGCGCCCTCGAGCGCCGCCCGCGCCTCCGCCGCCTCCTCTTCGTCGGGCGCCTGCGCGGCGAAGGAGGAGAGGCGGCCAAGTCAGTGTTGCACACGCCCTAGCACGGTGGGGCATGTGCACACGCGGGGCGTTGCACGAGGCGGTGGAGACGTGTGTTCTCGGAGCTGTCTCGGAGCTGTCTCGGAAAGGTCTCTGAAGGGTCTCGGAAAGGTCTCGGAGCCGCCTCGTGGCTGTCTAGAATCCAACGTCTAGGGCCGCGGTACCCCCGCTACCGACTTGTGCTGCCGTGTCACCTGCACCTGCGGCAAGAGAGGTGGGGTTGAGACACGGAGGGTGATGGGGCTAGGGCAGATCGAGCGCAGCATCAGCGTGTTTGTGCCTCTCAAAACTGCCTCGACAAAAGGTCTCGAAAGGGCCTCGGGCGTCTCCGCACACCTTGAGGTGGGCGTCGTGTCGCATCCTCTCCTCGCGGACTAGGCTTGTCACGAGCCGCGACGCGGCCGCACCGCCCTCTCTCCCCGCCAGCGCCGTAGCCAGCGCCTCGAGCGTCGCATCGCAAGCCGCAAAGAGCGGTCGGAACTGCTCCACGAGAGCCGGGTAGCCCGACGCGGCGCCCTCGGTTACGAGGTCTTCGAAGCGCGACTCAAAGTTGGCCGCGAGAGCCAGCCGCGCCCGCTGGCTCTCTTGCACCAACTGCATCAGCTCTCTCGCTCCGCTCGCAGCGATGTGCGGCCGCTCGAACATGAGATCCTCGACGGTAGGCGGCGGCCTGCGCTCCGCGGAGCCCTTGCCAGCCATGGGCTCAGTGCGGCGGATACTGCTGCCAGACGATAGCATTGCGAATTGCTGTGCGTGCGTGCGGTCTGGGCCCGCGGTCGTGTTGCTGTGTGATCGGGCACGTGTGTGACTGTCAGCGACGCTCGCGCCGGACCCCCCCCCCCCTGGCGCCGGAAAGAATTTTAGTTGGGTTTGTCCTCGACCCAGCCCTAGCTTGGGATGTCCGTTGTATTTATTTATTGGGGTGGTCCTCCCATCCCTCCCTTGGGTTAGCCGTTTTCTTTCTTTTTACTGGGGTGGTGGCGGCGTGCCGTCCTCCCATCCCTCCCTTGGCTTTGTTTTCTTTCTTTTTACTGGGCACGGGGGACCGCGCACTGGCACTAGCGGTGGAAGAATTTTACCATTTGCTCGTGGTGGCGAGGTACTTCCAGCCTGCTGTGGGAACAGCTGACGCAGTCTCGCCGAGGCTGTCTCGGGTTGACTCGGCCAGACTACATGTAAAACCCAGGCGTGGGAGTACCACCTCGCCAGCGCTCGTGCGGTGAAAGAATTTCCCCTCACTCCCTTGGGTTGTCTGTTTCTGCCTTTCTTTCTTTGTTTTAAGAATTCTTTCTTTAAAGTATAAAGAATTTCACGCCGCTAAAGCGCGCAGTCGGAGGCCTGTGCCCTGCCCCGTGCAGCCGGATGTAACCTGTCCAATGCGAGAGAGGACTCTCTGACTCTGTGGGACGCTGCGCGCTGTGTCCCTGTCGTGTGTGGGTGGGTGAATCCCGCTTAGCGGCCTGCACGGTCACAGTCACGCGAACCCGAACGCGAGATCGATAACGTGCTACGTGAGCTCTGCACGCAGGCCTCTGATGGTCGTGTAGAAGTTGAGTCTTGAGAGCATCCAGCCTGTTGGCGCTTTTGGAGCACCACCTGTCGGCGCTTTTGGAGCACACGTGCGTTCCCGACTTTCTTCAGCACTGACTGCATGCACCGAACGAACGAACATTAGTCATTACTTACTCACTTGTTGGTTTGTTTGTGGCTGGTCACTCTCACGTGCATGTACTCAGCGGCCCGCAAGGAAGAAAACCCACACAGCGAGAGAGAGAGAGAGAGAGAGAGAGAGGGAGAGAGAGAGAGAGAGAGAGAGAGAGAGAGAGAGAGAGAGAGAGAGAGAGAGAGAGAGAGAGAGAGGAAGGAGAGAGGAAGGAGAGAGAGAGAGAGTACTACCGATAGCCGGTAGCTTCTGATTCCCGCGGCCGAGATTTGGGGCCGCCTCCCCCGCCGTCACCACCCCCGCCCTCGCCGTCACCACCCCCGCCAGCATCGCCGCCGCCCTCGCCGCCTCCCCCGGCGGCGACCGTGGCCAAGCCGCGCTGGGTCGTCTGTGGAAGGCGCGGAAACTGCGGCGAAGCCATGGCGCAGGGCTTGCTGGAGCCGCAGGGCGAGTTGCACGAGGTGCGCTGCTGCTCCGACACGCGCATCAACCGCTGGAGTAAGCGAAGCGAAAGCTGCCCGTGGGCAGAGTCGGACGCCGGTATGGGCGGGTGCCACAGCGACAAGACATTTGCCGAGGCTGAGGCCATCTGCATTGAGGCTGGCGCGCGCCTCTGCACCAAGGACGAGCTGGAGGCGGACTGCACCGCCGGCACCGGCTGCGGGCACGACAGGGATCTCATATGGTCGAGCGACGTACAGACGACGCCGTCGGCCGATCCGCTGCCGCCGCCGCCGCTGCCGCCGCCCCCCTCGGTCAGTCCGTCTACCGCTCTGCGTTTCGTCGAGTGCGGACGGGTCGGCAACTGCGCGGAGCCGGCCGGCTGGGTTGCGGCTTCTGAGCTACACGAGGTGCGCTGCTGCTCTGACACGCGCATCAACCGCTGGAGCAAGCGAAGCGAAAGCTGCCCATGGGCAGATTCGGTGGACGGTATGGGCGGGTGCCACAGCGACAAGACATTTGCCGAGGCTGAGGCCATCTGCATTGAGGCTGGCGCACGCCTCTGCACCAAGGACGAGCTGGAGGCGGACTGCACCGCCAGCACCGGCTGCGGGCACGACAGGGATCTCATATGGTCGCGCGACGTACCCTAGCGGCCGCCGCCTAAACGGTCGTCGCTGCGGCCGCGGCGAGAGGGACCGTGGTGATGCGGCTGGCTGTGTGCAGGATGCTGCTGCCTGCTGGTGCTCTCTCGGTCTCTGGCCTCTCGTCTTCTCTCTCACTCTCTGTCCGAGCTCTCAACCTCTATCGAGATTTGGTGTGTCAGTGTGTTCTGTTCAGTAGTACGAATCGGTCGACCCCTGCGAGAGAGTAGAGAGAGAGTTGTGCACATTCTGCATATATATACACACACACTGTATAATATATTACTATCACAAAACAGAAGGACGACAGCTCCGCAAATCTACGGCACGCCGTCCCCGACGCCACCGTCACCCCACTCGCGCCCCATTCTCCCGAGCGAGAACTGGAGGCCGCCCAGCTCGTCACCCTCTGGCCTCCCCGACAGCTTGTCGGCCCAGCCGTCGATTGCGGCGGCGGACGCCTCTGCGTCCCCAGCCCTCGACAGCAGCTCGACCGCGGCGTGCGTGTGCGTCGCCAGCGTCTCCGCCGGCAGGGCGCCGAGCGCCGCGACGGCCGCAGCGCGCACCTCAGCGTCGCTGTCTTCGAGCCGCGACACGAGCGCAGCTGCCGCCGCTATCAGCGGCGCGCCGAGCTTCGACAGCGTGCGCGCAACGGAGAGCCGGACTCGGGCGTCGGCGCTGCGTCCCAGCAGAGCCGTCAGCTCTGCGCCATGCGCGTCGAGCGTCGCAGGCTCGTCTGCCATTCGCTCGAGCACCAAGACAGCGAGCCGACGGACCTCGCCGTCGTCGCGGTCGAGGCTGGCTACGACGGCGGGGAGATAGCGCTCAACCTCAGCCGGTGCGAGCTCCGTCAGCGCGGCGAGGCGCCGGCGCCGCAAGATTTCGTAGTCTTCGCTCGCCTTTCGTGGAGGGTGAGCATCGAGCCAGGTCCGCCGTCCGTCGAACCTGGCCTCCATGAGTGAGCTGCTGTAAAGGAGCGCTCCGGCTGATAGGACGATCAGCGCAGCAGCGAGGGAGGCCACGAACATCATCCTGCGGTCTCGCACGGCCTTGACACGTAGCGTCGAACCTCGATCGGCGCTGGAACAGTGTGGGGTGGGGGTTCCAAACCTCACTCAGGGTGATCCTTCTTTTCTACCCCGCTAGGATTGAGTTAGAGCAGCCTCGCTCTCAATCCTAGAAGTCGAAAGATTGTGAGCAGCACTCCTCGCAATCGTAGCATCTCTCTGCGATTGTGAGCCCTTACGCTCGCAATCCTTACGTCTTCTACTCGCTTAATGTGGGTAAACCATAGTAGCGTATACGCTACTATGAACATAAAACTAAAAAGCTCTATGAACAGAGAAACCCATAAGAATCGCCGCCGCAGTCCACGACGAGCCAGCCTGCTGCCGGCTCGCACGGCAGCCTCTTCCTCTCGACCAGCCTCAACTTCCGTACAGTCAACATTTTGTCGCTGCGTGCTCGTGGCGAGCTGTGGCGGCGGTCGAAGTTGGCCCAGATTCGGTGACGAGCGCCGGACGATAGTAGTGTCTCTGTTCGCCCTGTGCATGTCAGGCCAGGCTGCAGCAGGGCACTACCATCGTGCTGCCCTGTTGCAGCCTGACTTTGCCCACTGTGCACAGCCGCCAGAGCATCACCACCGCCCGGCATCGTGTCACGGCGAGCTTCTTCTGCGCCCGCTCGCGAGGCTCTCGCGCTGGTACACTTTGGCCATCTGCTGCTCGCGTTCGGCGAGCTCTTCTCCGCACGCCTGCCACGGTGCCGTCACCACACACCTTCTGGCCGGCCTGAGCCGCGCGGACTCGCCGGCGGGGGCAACGTGTCGACCTCTCTCTCTGGTGCACCACGGGCCGCGACGGCCTGCTAGCAGCCGGCGCGAGGAGGCAGTGTGCCGGCACAGTCGAGCCGGAGCATCGGGTTCTTGATGCTTGTGGGGTCAAGTTTGACCTTATGTGGCATAACATGCAATAATAAGGCTATGCTGTCTCCCGGCTTTTTGAGATATGATCCCTCAAAGTCGAATTATGGTTTACTGGTGACCATACCCCATAGTAGCGTCTGTCCTGTTTGCGATATCTTCAAACGAATACTTTAAAGTCTCGACAATCACTAAGCTGCTTATGTGGCACCGCAGCGGCTCCCTTGGGGATGCCTGAGGCCACCCCAACCACTCACCAAGCCTTACGTGGACGAATTCAAACCTACTTTTATGGTTTACCTACATTAAGGGAGTAGGACTATGAGCAGCTCCGCTCCCAAGGTGACTGGTGACGCCTACGACTACTACCATCGCGCTCGCAATCCGAGCAAAGTCTAGGGTTGCGAGCAGCTTAGCTCACAATCCTAGCAACATGCCTCCGATTGCGAGCAGTAGCGCTCGCAATCCTACATCTTGTAGGACTATGAGCGGCTGCGCTCACAATCGTAGCAAAGATCCAAGGATTGCTAGCAGCGCACATAGGGTGCTCCCAATCGCTCCAGCCGCAAGCGCTTGTGAGTGAGCGCGCCGGGAGGGTCTCCTCACAATCCAAACAGTGATCGCACTGATTGCGAGGGGACCTGCTCGCAATCCTAGAAGTCGTAGGACTGTGGGCGGTGTCGCTCGCAATCGGCGAAAGTTCTAGGATTGCGAGCGCTCCTGCTCGCAATCGGAGGCATGTTGCTAGGATTGTGAGCAATCCTAGACTTTGCTCGGATTGCGAGCGCGCTGGTAGTAGTCGTAGGCGTCACCAGTCATCTTGGGAGCGGAGCTGCTCTTAGTCCTAGAAGATGTAGGATTGCGAGCGTAGGCGCTCACAATCGCACAGAGATGCTACGATTGCGAGGAGTACTTGGAGCACTTGGACTGCTCACAATCCTTCGACTTCTAGGATTGAGAGCGAGGCTGCTCTCAATCCTAGCCTGGTAGAAAAGAAGAAGGTTCACCCTCACAGCCTGCTGGCGGGGTTTTGAAAAATTTATTCGGCGCTAGCAAAGTCTAGGATGGCTGAAATTTCTTTTTTTGAAAATTCCAGAAGAGAGGGAAAACCCCGACGGGAGGGCCCAGACCTACCCTACCTACCCCGTCATGAGAGAGATTTTTAGCCAAACAACAAAATCTAAAACAAATCTCTCTCAAAATCCAAAACTCACACGTTTGTCATGAGTGCCGCTCAAGCAAGAAGTACCCACACCTGTTCGGGCGCGGAAAATTCTTTTTTGGTGTTCGCGCGCCGTTGTCACACTTGCTGGCACTACACAGGGAAAAAGAAAGTGACCTCCGTGATGGCTGGGGACGGGGTGGAAGTGAAGGAAGCCTTCGAGCTGGAGTCGCAGGTCGCCCTCGCCGAGGCGCACGTGGTGGGCGGCACGCGTGAGATCCGTGCCGTGCACGATGAGCACACCGTCCGCGTTTACCAGGCCTACAACGCATCGATTGCATCGGCTGCTGTCGAGGCCCAGAGGTTCGTGCCGCCGTGGAAGGAGGGTCGCATGACATGGATCAAACCGTCTTTCGTGTGGATGGGCTACCGCTGTGGCTGGACTCGCAAGGACGCCAACCAGTCACGCGTGCTCGCGATCGATCTGCACCGTGCCAGCTTCGACAAGCTGCTGCTCGACGCCGTGCTGGCGAGTGCGCAGCAAGGCGAGCGCAGCGACCGCGACGACTCCGGTGCCTCAGCTGCCATCGTCGTGCAGTGGGACCCCGAGCGTGCTCTCGGCGGTGACTCCGGCCGACACGCGTTCACGCACCCGCTGCCGGCGCAACGCTCGCTTCAGATGGGCTTGCGCGGCGAGGCGACGCGCCTTCTCGCCGTGGCCGACGGCATCGTCGCTGCAATCACCGACGTGACGAGCGCGTTTGCCGCGGTCGGCGCGGCTCTCGAGGCGGGCGAGGACACCTCAAGCCTGCTGCCTGTCGAACGGCCGTACCCGCTGCCCGAGGGCTGTGCGATCGCAGACCGCAGCGTGGCGACCGCAGCGGCCGAGGTGGCAGTGGCGCAGGGCGGCAGCGGCTCGGAGCTTCGCAGCTTGAACGCTGGCTCATATCGTACGCCTGGTGCGACTCTTCGGCGCTCGCCGCACCTGGTGCCGCGGCCGGGCGGCGTGCAGACCCGTAATATTTGTAACCATCACACGTAGCCATCCTACTGTAGCATGAATCGGATACGATATAGCACCGGTTTCGCGAACTCTGAGACGAGAGGGATTTAGGGACATGTGTTGGTGTGAGAGAGGGAACGGGATCTTCAGTCCCCTCACCCCTGCGCCCTGGTTATCCGTCGATCCCCACGCCTCCCGCTTTTGCGGGCGGCCTTGTGTGGTGCGCCGGTGTTGCGCTCCTCAGTCCTCACACGCAACACACCAAATACACCTCACCTCACTGCCTCTTGTGGTCCCCGGGTTGTTTGTTTTGGGAGAGAGATTTTAGTAATACCAAGCAAGTCGAACACTCACGCACTCATTTCGTCCATTTGTGTGCGTCTTGTGCCTTCCTTCGTTCGTTTTGTTTGTGAGCCAACGCTCGAGCTGGGCTCGCACCCTGCGCGAGAGGCCGGGACCCGGCGAAACGCCAGGCCCAGCTGATCGAGTCTGCGTAGACGGAGCGGCCCATCCCGACAAAGAGCGCGACGGGGGCGCCGAGAGCGTCTTGGTAGACGAGCGGCCTCTCCGCGTACGCGTTCGTGAAGGAGGAGCCGTTTGCGAGCTCCACGGTGGGGCCAAAGGCGCCAATCGCCTGCCCGCTCCAGGTGAGGCCGTCGAGGCTCCACGCGTGCCCGCCGCACGCGGCGCCCGCATCGCAGCGGCGGTGGAACGTGTTGACATTCGTGAGCATGTGAAAGCTTCCGCGCGGGTCGCGAAAGACGAACGGGTCCTCGCTCTCGGGCCGGACAAGCGGCGCGCTGGTGCTCAGCAGTGTGTACGGCCCCTCCCACGAGGGCGCGCGGAAGAGGGCGATGCACGTCGGCGCGCGGCCCCAGCCGGGCGGGCAGGGGTCCGCCGAGGTGTAGAGCAGGACGGTGCCGTTCGGGAAGATGAAGGGACCCGGGTTGGACACGCGGCGCACCCACGAGTCGGCGGGGCCGCTCAGCTCGACCCGCCTGCCCGGCACCTCCCACGGGCCCCTTGGGCTCGGCGCTGAGGAGACAAAGATTGGGTCCGAGAGGTAGTCGAGGGTGCCGCCGCGCTGCCGCGGCTGCACAAGTTGCCGCCGTGCGTTCGCTGGCACCCACGCCGACGGCCGGAAGCGGCGTGGGTCGGAGCGGTTGCAAAACTTATTTGCCGGGAGGCGGTGTTCCGCACCGATGTGGAAGAGCAAGTGGCGCCCCGAGGCGGGGTCGAAGCTGAGGAAGGCGTTGTGCGCCCACGGCGGCAGCGCCGCGCCCTCGGGCGCGAGCGAGGAGGGCGGCTCACCGATGAGGGAGTACGGACCCTCGGGTGCATCCGCCTCTGCAACCACAATCGCGCTCCCCCACTGCCACTGGTTGAGAGAGCAACCGCCGACCATCATGCTAAAGGCGCCGACATACTTGCCCGTCGCGCCATCGTAGGTGCACCGCCCGCCCCACGAGTGGTAGCCGGGTACCTGGAGCCCGGCGCTTTCAGGCGAAGCTGCTGGCTCGAGGTTGAGGAGGCTGCAGTCCCCACCGGTGAACCACGCGTCGCATGCGCATCTGCCTCGCGGCCTGGCGTCGGATGCGGGGTTGCTCCGTGTCATATGCTGCGCAGCATCGCTGCTGACGCACCTGCCGCCCAGGGAGCATTCCCAGTCGGTCGTGCACTCAGAGCCTCCTTGCTGGGCCCGGATCGTGGGAGAGAGAGCGGGCCGCAAGGCAGAGAGAGAGCGGGCCGAGCGTGGAGCGGCCATTTGTGATGCTCGATGCTGCTCCGCCCGCGTTGCTTTCTCCGCCGCTCACTCGCTGACGATGAGTTGTGAGAGATGGCACTCTGGGACGTAAGCACATTGCCGACTTGCGCGCAAACGCTGCGTGCGGCGCCCGTGTTACGCCAAGTTTGTGAAAAAAAATTCCTTCTGGCTGCGGGTTGGAAATTCTTTTTGGGGCCTAGAAGACTCAGCAAAAATCTTTTGCGCTGGCATGTGAAGCGCCATATGGGAGGTATTTTCTTCTCAATAACAAGGCTGTGAACAAACCAAAAGGCATGAAGCTCGCGTTGCTCCTCGCGCTCTCGGCGTTGCCTGCCGCAGCCTTCGAATTCCCCGCGCGCCCTCCCATTCGCTACGCCGGCGCACTCGCCAGGCCTCAGCCGCTGCTCCTCGCCAAAAAGCGCAAGGCCAAGAAGAAACCGTCATCGGCTAGGCCACCAGCGGCGGCGCCACCGACGCCACCGCCTCTGACGCCGCTGCCGCCTCTGACGCCGCTGCCGCCTCTGACGCCGCTGCCACCTCTATCGCCGCTGCCGCCTCTGTCGCCGCTGTCGCCGCTGCCGCCTCTCTCACCGCCGCCGCCACTGCCGCCGCCGCCGCCGCCCACACCGCCTTCAGCGGCGGCGTCACCAGTCCCAGTGCCGACGACAGAGTCTGGGATGCCGGCTGTGCCCCTCGTCATGGCGGAGTTTGTCGACCCGTCCGAGGCGGTCGCGCCGCGACCTTCTTCCGCCACGCCGGCCCGCCAGCCGAGCCGGCCGGAGTTTGGCGTGGACGATGAGCCGCTGGTGGCGCTGCCGTCCTTTGACGAGCTGGCGGCGCTGAGAGGGCCGGCGGTGAGGCCGCCGTCCGCCACTGCCGGCGCGGGGGGCGACCAAGAAAATTCGCGCGCTGAGGTGCGCGCGCACACGCACACGCACACACATGCACGCACGCACGCCCGCACGCCCGCACGCACGCACGCACGCACGCACACACACACAGACACACACACACACGCACGCACACACACACACACACACACACACACATGCACGCACGCTCAGCGCGTCGTGGATCGATAGAGAGGCGACAAACAGCCAGGCCTCGAGCCGGACAGCTGTGAAGAGGCCGCCCGCGAGACGGAGAGGGACGGCCACGACAAGACACAGTGACACGGGCGAGACACATTGGCCGGCCCGGGAGGTGACTCACCCTCCGGAAGCGTGCCTCCACAGGTCGTGCGGCGGCTCCGTGGCCTGGTTGGACTCGCGCCTTCTCCCGAGGCGAGCCCGAGGACGCGAGAGGACCCGAGATCGCTCGAGATCGCTCGAGGTCGCACGAGATCACTCGAGATCACACGAGAGCGCCTCGACCGTCCGTCGCCCTTCTCCTCTTCCCCTCCCTCCCCCTCCACCTCGCGGCCTCTCCCCCGCAGGCCCCTCCGGCGGCGCCTCCCGCGTCCAAGCTGCCGCCGATCAACGCCGGCAAGGCCGCCTACTCGCTGCCGGAGGAGGAGGAGCAGTCGCCGGTGGAGAAGGTTGTGTTTCGGCTGGCGTGGGCTGGGATCGGCACGCTCATTGCCATCGAGGCGGAGGGCCGAGCTCGTCCGAGAGGACCCGGAGAGCGGCACACTCAATCCCTCTTCACGGCGCACTGGTGTGAGCAGATCTTCATCAACACGCCGCTCTTCCAGCAGCTCAAGCCCGCCATCCTCGGCCCGCCTCTAGTTAGTGGTTCATTCGTAGTGAATTCGTAGTTAATCAGCAGCTCAAGCCCGCCATCCTCGGCCCGCCTCTAGTTAGTGGTTCACTCGTAGTGAAATCGGCCGAGACGAGCCGAGAGGAGCCGGAGGGACATGTTCGTGCCGTAGGCTTCCTCGCCGGGGAGACGCCGTCGCTCGCCACGCCACAGCCGACCGGCAGCATGCCCCCCCCCTCCCTTCTCCCCCCCTCTCGCACTCACGCCGCCGCACCTCGTCCGCACCTCGGCTGCTGTCTCTGTTTTGGTGATCTCGGCCTGATCTCGGCCTGATCTCGGCCCCTCGCGGCAGGCAACACACTGCTCGAGCCCGCGCGCGACCTGCTCAAGGCGCGCGAGAGAGGAGCCGAGGCGACCTGAGATTGTCCGAGATGACCCGAGGTGACCCGAGACCCAGGCGCGCGAGGACACCATGGCACGCGAGGCGGCGGCGTCCGCCCCGCCGCCCGCCTCCGTCTTCCCCGACGCCGCGGCGGAGTAGGCCCAGCCCTGCGGCGCGGCAAGGGAGCAGAGCGCAAGAGGGGCAAGCCGCCTCAGCCGCAACAAGCAAGCGAGCCTCAGCCGCCATGCCGCCTGCTCCTCTGCTCTGTGGTCGTGCCGCGCAGCTGCGCTGTGGCTACTGGCGGCCCTGCGGTGTGCGTGTGGGCGTGGGGCGCGGTGCGCCAGAGCGGGGTGTCTAGAGCGGGATAGGTGTCGCGCCGCGCGCGCCGCGATGCGGAGAGCGAGACCGGGGCGCGGGGGAGCGGCGGGAGATGGCAGATGCATGAGGATGAGCCGCCATTTCCCGTGACATAGACAAACCACATATTGTTGTTGATGAGCGGCGCGGCCGCGGGGGAGATCTCGAGAGATGAAACATGACTTCGTTATGAGACCGGGGGGCGCCGCGGTCCGCGCGGACGGTGCGTCTGCGTGTACGGTGTAGCGTGTGAGCGGACTGAGAGAGGGGCTGGCGGCTGAGGGGATGTCGGCCCGGACGTGCCCCGCCACCGCGCCGCCGCACGACGGACCGCGAACGCGATACAACAACAAAGTAAAAACGACGGGTGGATTCACCAACGACCCCCCCCCCCTCTCTGAGTGCCCGACTCTCTGGGCGCGCAAGCAGGACACCGCATGACGCTGTCGTCGTCGTCGACGGCAGGCAGGAGAGGGAAGGGGGCGCTGGGCGAGGGGGGCCGTCCCACGGCGACGGGCGGCGAGGCACAACAGACGGGGAAGCGACATCACTCCTTCGCCTGGGGGGGGGGGGGGGGAAAGGGCAAAAAGGCGTCAGGACGTGTTGCCGGCGGCCCCCCACGGGCGGGTGGGAAAAGGCCCCGCTAAAACCAGCCCCGCACGAGGAGTCCCTTGGGGGTGGTGGTGGTGGTGGGGGGGGGGGGGGGGCTTTCGCTTCCCCTATTGCGGGAGGTGGGTTTTTTCTCCCGAAGCCCCAAAAAGGCGTATCCCGGCGCGGAGCAAGCGCAGCTTGTGGAAGACGTCGTCCGACTGCACGGCGAGGGGGGGAGGGGGGAGGGGGAGGCGCGGGTGGTGAGCAGCGCGGTGGGAAAGTCGAGGGCCCCGAGGCGGCAGCCGCGAGTGGGAGGGAGGGGGGGGAAGGGTCCCCGAGGGGGGGAAAGGGGGGGTCCCCCACACACATCTGGAGCACGCCCGCGGCGAGCGCGCCGCGGGTCGGTGCGCCGTCCCTCCCTCCCTCCCTCCCTCCGCAGGCTGGCTCCCATCCGAGTCCCGGGGGCCCGCGCGCCTTCATCTCGTCGGTGATCACCATCGCCTCCTCGCCCTTCGGCAGCTCGGGCATCTTGAGGATGCCCTTGACCTTGGTCTGGACGGCGGAGGCGATCTCCTCCTTGCTCGAGTCGCCCGCCTTGACCTTGTTGCGCTTCTTCGGGAAGACAATCAGCGCCGCCTTGTACTCCTTGAGCCGCTGCGAGTTGAGCTGCAGCGACTCGGCAGAGCGGTTCCGCCTGCGGTGGTCGACGGCAACGCCGATGGACCGCGCCTGCTTCTTGTTGATCCCCGCCTCCTTCAGCTCCGCGAAGGTGAAGCCGCGGCCCTGCCGCAGCTTGTAGTTGTACTTGTTGGTCGGCGGGTGCACCGCTGGACGCAGCAAGCCGACGGGCCGCGGCGCGACAGCAGCCGCCTTGGCAGCGCGCTTCAAGCGCCTGCGCTTCTTGCGCGCGGCCTGGTCGAACCACGTCTTGACGTGGTCCTGCCACAGCGTCTTGTGGAAGTGCTGGTTGGGCACCACATTGTTGTGCCGCACCTATGTGTGCCGCAGAGCCAGCGCCTGAGCGCTCTGCGCCGGCCCGCTCTGCGCCGCCGACGGGTGCGGCCCGCGCGCCCTCGGCGAGCATGCCGCGAGATGGTGAGTGGGTGAGTGGGTGTCTGAGGGGAGCGCGCGTGTCCCGGCGTGCGGGCGATGACTGGGTGTGCGCAGCACGGGCGGTGCACCATTTTCTGAGCAGCCCCTGCGCGTGGGCGAGGTAAAAAAACTCCAAACGGCGCAACATAGCTACGAGCAACCCGATCCCAATCGTCTGGTGCGCTCTCCCCGGCCCTCGGCGTGCGGGCGATGACTGGCGGCGCGCGCGGGTCGTGCGCTGGCCCTGCTCACCATGGCACCACGAGCCCCTAAAATAATTCGCCTCTTTTTCGCGGGGGGGGGGGGGCGGGGGGGGGCAGTGACCCAGTGACCCAGCGACCCGAGAGCTGTGTGTGTTAGTGGACACACTCGCACAGAGTAGGCTTTGTGAGTAAAGAGTAGGATGTGTGTGTGTACCACATTGATGTTTGATCATTGTCACGTCACCGGCCGCGCAGGTCTGTGCGCAGGTCTGTGCGCAGGTCTGTGCGCCTATGCGACGGTGTATCAGTCGCGGATATGCAACGGTGGCATAAGGCGACTGATACACCGTCCCTATGTGCACACGCACATGTACATGCCCATGACATCTCTCACATCGTGAGAGAGAGATTTTTAGCAATACCAAACAACTCTAACACTCACAGTCCAAGATGGCGGCTCGCGCCCCCGTCCGTGCTCTGGTGTATCGCTTGGGTCGCCTCTGCTGCTGTCCTGCTGTGTCTCGTCTTAGCCAGATATCGAGAGCGCGCGACGATAACCAACCCAACCCCAACCCTAACCCTAACCCTCTAGCCCGAAGACCCAAAGCATTCACCGAGAGCTCGTGTCGACGGACCGCTGATTCCTCCCTTTGGTTTCGGCCCAAACCGGACCATTCGCTCTCAGGAGCTGCACAACGGCCTGAACTCTCTGACCCTAACCCTAACCCTAACCCTAACCCTAACCCTAACCCTAACCCTAACCCTAACCCTTGCTTGCCTAGCCCGAAGAACCCAAAGCATTCACCGAGAGCTCGTGTCGACGGACCGCTGATTCCTCCATTTGGTTTCGGCCCAAACCGGACCATTCGCTCTAAAACTTGTGAAATTTTCAGTGAAACGGGGGCGGCCGAAACGTTTCATGTGAAATTCACACGAATTCACATGTGAAAGTGAAAAGGTGAAATTTCACTCACGAACCCTGAATTCGCCTCTTTTTCGCGGGCGGGGGGGGGGGGGGGGGCAGTGATCCAGTGACCCAGCGACCCGAGAGCTGTGTGTGTTAGTGGACACACTCGCACAGAGTAGGCTTTGTGAGTAAAGAGTAGGATGTGTGTGTGTACCACATTGATGTTTGATCATTGTCACGTCACCGGCCGCGCAGGTCTGTGCGCAGGTCTGTGCGCGCTCTGTGCGCCTATGCGACGGTGTATCGTCGCGGATGTGCAACGGTGGCATAAGGCGACTGATACACCGTCCCTATGTGCACACGCACATGTGCATGCACATGTGCATGTTGCACATGCTCATGTTGTTGTGTGGACATGCACCATGCAACATGCACATGCACATGCACATGCACATGCGCATGACATGCACATGCACAACATGACATGAACATGAACATGAACATGAACATGAACATGAACATGAACATGATTGTGCATGTGTGCCCTCTCACACATCGTGTGTGTGCGTAAAAGGGTGTAATAGAAGATAATAGAGCCTCTCGCCTACGTTCATGAATCAATATCGCTCCGTAGACCGCGCGCCGCTTTTCGTTTTGATTTTGAGAATTCACTCGGCCGTGGGTGTGTGGCTGCGCCAACTGCACTCCAAGTGCTCCGCAACCATGTCTGCAACACTCTCGGCTCTCCGGCCCGCTGCGCGCGCCCGCACGAGGAAGGGACTGCGAAGCGAGATAGGAAGAGGCAGACGCCCAAGGGTGGGCGATACAGGCCAAGGGGTCACAGCCCAACTCCCCGCGCGGACGATTTCTCCTTTGTGTTTTACCCAAACGGACACACATCTCTCTCTCTCCCAAACGGAGACCGTGAGACCGTCCCGGAAGGTGGAAGAGGCTTAGAGGCGCCCTGGGCCGAAATAGCTGCCCCTGCGTCACCGGGTGCACTTGGAGTGCAGTCAGTAGCCGCACATCCAGGGCCGGGGAGCTAAGAAGCGCACCCACCCACCCAGCCCAGCCAGCCAGCGGGCCACCGGGCCGCCAGATGATTGGGATCGGTGCACTTGGGGTTCTTGCATCTTCGTTGGCTGCGTGATGACGATGTCAACTTGTCCAAATGGAAATGCGCCAGCCTGCGTGCGCTCTGCGAGGCCACGAGCGGACAAGGCAACAGGACACGGCGACACAAAAAGAATTCTCGTCTGTCCGCCCAAGCTTCCTCCCTCCCGCAACACGCCGCTGAGGATGAGCGGTCTCGTCTGTCGTGTCTGCTTCGAGGAGCTTCCCAGCTCGTGTCCGGACACCGAGGCCGGCACCGGCATGATCCAGCCGTGCCTCTGCTCTGGCTCTGCGCGCCTCGTGCACCGCCGGTGCCTCGACACCTGGAGATCGACAAGGCGCGGCAACGCCTTTACGCACTGCGGGACGTGCAGGTTTCGATACCGGGTGGTCACTCGCAAAGCCAAGCCGATTGAGCTGCTGGCCTACCGCTTGACGATAGCGCGAGACATTGCTCTCCTCGCGTCGATCGCCTCGTGCCTAGTTGTGCTGTGCTCCGTGATCGCTGCGTGGCTGTCGCGCGAGGTTGAGGAGCGAGGAGGCACCGACAGCCTCGCCGGCCTGGGCATCGACAGCACCACTGCCCGGCAGCTGACCAGGCTGCTTTTGCCGGGCGCCGGGCTCGATGCGCCAGACGGCGACAGCGCGGCGGCGACCGGCGGGTCGCTGTCGCTGCACAACCCTGCTTGCCCGTGGTCCGTGTGGCTCGGCGCCGGTGCGCTGCTTTTGTGTGCGCTGCTTGGAGTGGCGTCGATCCTCGCTTGGGCGCTCGGCCTGATCCCCAACGACTTTGAGGTGCAGTGGCCTCGGAACTGCCAGTGCTTCGTCTTTGCCGGGCCTGTGGTGCTCCTCGCCGCCGCCGCCCTGTGCGTCTTTGGACTGGTGGTGGGCGTCTCGATCGCAACGCGGCTGCTGCGGCGCGGCTTTGTGCGCCACGCCGAGGTTGCGTGGCTGCGCGACGAGACGAAGCGGCATGTGGTGCAAGACCTGCGAGGCGTCAACCTGGAGCGAGCCGGCTAACTGCGGTCAAACTATTCTCACCCAGTCCTCTGCCTTATTGTACTTATCTGAGAGAGAGAGAGAGAGATTTTTAGCAATACCAAACGACTCTAACGAACTCTAACGTGTTTTGTCGATGCGCTCGTCTGCGAGCGCCTAGGAATTTTCGCTCGTCTGCGAGCTCTCTCAGCGGTTGAGGTGTCTGAGTTCCCACAAATGTGGGAAGTGCTAAACCCCCTCCACGAAACACAGCCTGTCTGCGACGCGCATGCCCCACTCCATCACCGTCGCCGAGGGGGCTCCGGGCGTGAGCTGTGGGATCACGGATGCGTCGGCAATGTGCAGTCCTGCCAGTGCGGGCCGGCAGCGGTTCTCCTCCGCGGTCTTGCCAAGCGCGGGCGGATGCAGGTAGAGCTCAAACTTGTCGTTCAGCACGGTAACGGGCTGGCAGCCGCCGTAAAAGTGGTTGTAGGTGCCCAGCTCCTTCTTTGTAGGCTTGATGTGGAGGTTCCACTCGGTGACGCCCGGCGGCATCCCAACGCAGCGGCCAATGGACGAGTGAATGAGCGGAGTCAGGAACCTCAGCCAAAAGCGGTGCCACCGGCGCCAGCAGCTCTGCGGCGCCTCGTTGTTGAGGCGGAAGAACTCTTTGAGTGCCGGCAGTTGGCTCTCGTACCACCCCATCATCTCCGGGGTGAAGTCGAGCCGCGAGTCGTCAACCTCGACAGAATGCTTCGTCGCCCTGAGCGCCATGGTTGGCTTGCGGGTGACGGGGTCGAGCGAGTCGAGCGAGACGGAGATGTAGGACCAGTTCCGAGCAAAGGGCGTGAGCAAGAGCCGGAAGACGAGCCACATGCGCGTGATGAGCGCAAAGATGGTGGGCAGCCCGCGGGCCCAGACCACGAGCGCCGTCCGCCGCAAAAACTGGTCGCCGGCTCGAGCCCCGACGAGGGGTGCCACGCGACCCTGCGGCGGCGGCCCGCCCTGGTCCTCGGCGGCCACAAAGAGGCACGTCACGATCACCTCGTCGCCCACCTCCTTGCCGATGTGTGGGTTCTCGATGACGCGGCGGCTCGGAGAGATGCCGCGCGTGTCCAGCGCCTCGGGCGGCCCGATGCCAGAGTCGACGAGGAGGGAGAAGGTGCCAAAGATGCCCGCGGAGAGGATGGTGGAGTGAGCGCGGTAGACCACCTCGCCACCCCCGCCCGGCGGCAGCACGGCGACGCCGGACACTCGCTTGCCTCCATCAGGCGCCTCCTCTACCAGCAGTCGCACAACCTTGGTGCGAAGATGGAGGGAGCGGCGGCCCGGCCCGGCCGAGAACTCCTGCGCGAGCCTATCCGCCAGGAAATTGCGCCGCTGGCTGCTCGGGTAGATGCTGCTGGGGTAGCCGACGAAGCCGCTCCCGGCCATGGAGATGGCCGGCGCGTCTGTGGGGAGGGGCGTCTGCATCTCGTAGCCAACGAACCCCTCGGCGCCCTGGAACGCGCCGATGAAGCGGTCCCCGAGCGGGGTGGTCCCGAACGAGCTCTTCCCCTCGATAATGTTTTGGTTGCGAAGCTCCCATACATTGGGCTCCAGAACGGTGTCATCCTGCTGGAGCCCGAGGTAGTTGGGACCGCCAGAGTTCATCGCGTCGCCACCTCCAAATCCCTTCCATGAGCGCGCGCGCAGCCAGTTACGAGTGGTGAAGCGGTGGTCAGGGATGTTGCCCTTGCTTATTTGCGGCTGAAGCTCATCAGGCCAGCCGACGATTCCTTGCCCATACTTGCCGATTCGCTCTCCCTCCTCGAACCAGAGCACCGAGACCTGCAAGGCGGGGCGGGAGGGGATTGCTGCACGGCCGCCAGGCGACACATGGCGGTGGCGACGGCGGCGGAGGTTCATGCGCGCCTCTCGCTTGAGGCTGAGGAGCTTGTTGATAAAGCCCGCGCTCGCCGGGCCAGAACCGATGACAATGTAGTCGTAGGTGCTCGATGAAGCGTCTTTGCCCGCTTGCTGGTGCTCCTTGCGCTTTTGCGCCAGGTACGCATGCCTCGGCTTCGGCAGCGTGGGCGTGGGCGGCATGTGAGCGTTGTACTAAGTGGGGAGCGGATCCTCAGGGGCGCGGCCTTTCGCTAACCCCTCGGCCAAACCGCGCGCCGCTTTGATTTTGAGAATTCACTGGTACTCCGAGAGGACATCCGAGTGGAGGGGAAGGCCAGGACGCTCTACCTCGGAGGGAAGAAACCGGCGCAAGACAGCGGCACGCACCTGGGGTCGAGAGAGGACGGGGACAATCGAGTGATAAAGCTGGAGGGGACCCCGGGCCTCGATACGAACGCGACATGGGAGGAGGAGATACCCGAGCAAAATAAGATCACGGCGGACGCGATGGAAAATATGATGGAGAGACAGGAGAGGGAGCGACAGGAGGGGAGCCTCGGGGCGGATGAGACGTTGTTCCCAGAGGGGGCGCCCCAGAGACACATAAACTGGCAGGACGAAAGCTACGAGCTGTTTGTGGGATACGGACACGGGGCGAGCGCGATCAGAGTAGGGGAGCTACAGGAGGACGACCCCCTAACGCGCTTCTTGCTCCGATACGACGAGTTTGAGACGGGGGGAGAGCTGACGCGACGGCAAAGCCAAAGGAACGAACGCGAATTAAGATGGGAAAAGACAGCAAGTCGCTGCGATCGGGGAAGGGACGAGCCCTGAATGTGAAAGTAGCGCAGACTTGCCTCCCGCTGCACGGTCTCACCATGGCACCACGAGCCCCTAAAAGAATTCGCCTCTTTTTCGCGGGCGGGGGGGGGGGGGGCAGTGACCCAGTGACCCGAGAGCGTGTGTGTGTCAGTGGACACACTCGCACAGAGTAGGCTTTGTGAGTAAAGAGTAGGATGTGTGTGTGTACCACATTGATGTTTGATCATTGTCACGTCACCGGCCGCGCAGGTCTGTGCGCAGGTCTGTGCGCAGCTCTGTGCGCCTATGCGACGGTGTATCAGTCGCGGATATGCAACGGTGGCATAAGGCGACTGATACACCGTCCCTATGTGCACACGCACATGTACATGCCCATGTTGTTGTGTGGACATGCACCATGCACATGCACATGCACATGCACATGCACATGCACATGCACATGCACATGCACATGTTAATAAAAATCTCTCTCTGCACATGCACATGAGAGAGAGATTTTTTAGCAATACCAAACAACTCTAACACTCACACGTCATTTGGGGCCTGGAGCCCTGTTCACGCGCGCGCGAGACGTGCAGACAGGGTTGCCAGGTGAGAGCGAATGGCGCGGTTCACGCCTCGCACAACAGAGAGAGAGATGCGCTCTGCATGGTGGGACATAAAAGAGAGCGAGTACTTGGGCGAGTAGGCCGTGCGGTCGACGCTGCCGCGCGCGGCTTTGCGCGCGAGGCGGCGCAGCTTGAGAACGGCGGTGGGCGAGAAGCCGCCGCCGAACGTCTCGTGGAGCAGCAGGTTGAAGTTTGTTGCGCTTGACAAAGATCGCGTCGTGGTAGAAACCGCGATGCGCCTTGACGTAGCCGTGGCCGTTCTTGTGGTCGAAGGGTTGGCCGGGCTGCCCGCGCGCCTTGCAGCCCATGTTTAGGCGGCGGGCCTTCTCTTCGGTGTTGCCGAAGGCGTAGGAGTGGCCAACGGAGGCGGGCGTGCCGCCGCTCGAGGCGTTGCCAACGCCCGCCGAGGAGGTCTTGAGGAGGGGTGTCCAGAGCTTGACTTCATTCACCTCATCGCATCCTCCCGGGCCAGCGTGGGGTTCCGCGAGGTCGACCTTGTACCCCTCGTTGTACTGCCGGGTGAGCTCTGGTTTCTCCTTGTCACCGTGCATGCCGCGAGATGGTGAGTGGGTGAGTGGGTGTCTGAGGGAAGAGCGCGTGTCCCGGCGTGCGGGCGATGACTGGGTGTGCGCAGCACGGGCGGTGCACCATTTTCTGAGCAGCCCCTGCGCGTGGGCGAGGTAAAAAAACTCCAAACGTCGCAACATAGCTACGAGCAACCCGATCCCAATCGTCTGGTGCGCTCTCCCCGGCCCTCGGCGTGCGGGCGATGACTGGCGGCGCGCGCGGGTCGTGCGCTGGCCCTGCTCACCATGGCACCACGAGCCCCTAAAAGAATTCGCCTCTTTTTTGCGGGCGGGGGGGGGGGGGGGGCAGTGACCCACCGACCCGAAAGCTGTGTGTGTCAGTGGACACACTCGCACAGAGTAGGCTTTGTGAGTAAAGAGTAGGATGTGTGTGTGTACCACATTGATGTTTGATCATTGTCACGTCACCGGCCGCGCAGGTCTGTGCGCAGGTCTGTGCGCAGGTCTGTGCGCCTATGCGACGGTGTATCAGTCGCGGATATGCAACGGTGGCATAAGGCGACTGATACACCGTCCCTATGTGCACACGCACATGTGCATGCACATGTGCATGTTGCACATGCTCATGTTCATGTTGTTGTGTGGACATGCACCATGCAACATGCACATGCACATGCACATGCGCATGCACATGCGCATGACATGCACATGCACAACATGACATGAACATGAACATGAACATGAACATGAACATGAACATGATTGTGCATGTGTGCCCTCTCACACATCGTGTGTGTGCGTAAAAGGGTGTAATAGAGCCTCTCGCCTCTCGGCGGGGTCCCACGAAAAAGACGACGGCGCTTACTACTGATACTCTCCCCGAGGGAACGCACGTACCACCGCGGCTCAGGGTAGCAGGAGTCATGTCCGAGGACGCGCGAATCAGCGCGGCGGCGCCGATAAAATCAGGTTGGTGATGAAGCAGGCTGAGGAGGCGGGCCGGGAGAGGTGGACGACGAGACCTTGATGGCGCTCTTTCAAGAGGTGACGGGGCGGGGTGGCTGGGCTGGCTGGGCCGAGCGTTTTTGATCTCTGGGTCAGTGGGGGGCCGAGCCGCCTCGGGGTGGCGGGCGGGCGGGCGTTTTGAAAAACAGAAAACAGAAAACAGAGGGGGGCCAGGGCCCCCACTACGATTAGACACACGCACCTGGCTCCTGGGACAAGGGGGGAGAATCGCAGCATGCAGTTCAGCGGAGAAGGGGGGGGGGGGGGGGAGCCGAGGGGGCGGCGTCCCCGACACGGCAGCTTGGAGCTAACCCCAGGAGAGAGAAAGAGAACAGCGATGGCGCCCCCATATGACCGTAGACAGAAAAATGACGAGCCGACAGCGAGCAGCGGCAGCGAAGGCGGCGAGAAGGGCCCGCTGCAGGGGCGGCAGCAGAGACATCGGCGGACGGGGGAGCACGCGGGACACGTCGGCATAGGAGCCAGGGGTGTGGGCTGGGCCTGCATCATGAATGGGCCTGATAGCGACGGCGGCGACGTCGTAGGCGAGACGGCGGCGAGACGGCGGCGAGGGTGGCGACGGCCACGATGAAGCTGGCTTTGACGAAAAAGATGACGATCGGGTCACAATGGACATCTAGGAAGGCGCAGCGTGTGGCTCAAAGCCGGCGCTGCGCGGGTTCGTGCCCATCCGACTATGGTCTACTTTTCCATTTTTTGGATGCCGTGGTCGTGGCATGCACGTGGGGGTCCGACTCACGACCCGCCGCACGAAGTAGGCGGCGCGCAGCGCCGCTCTCGCAGGCTGTTTTTGACGGTTCTACATTTTGTTTTTGTTTTCAGTCTAGGGGGGGCCCGACCCCCTCAGAGGCGGCGGGCGGGCGCCCACTGACCCAGAGATCAACAACGCTCGGCCCTGCAACCGCCTTGTTCGCGGTTTCGGGGGGACGGGGCGGCTGCCTGAGAGGTTTCGGGGGCTGTGACTTTGGCGATATCGTCACACTCCGGCAGAGATGCGTTTAATACTGTATCTGGAGACTTTAGGAGCCGTCGCGTCCATGCTCGCGCGCGGCACCTCTCACCTCCCCGCCGCCGCCTCACCCCAGAGTTAACCGCGCGAACCGGCCGCCGTCGAGCAAGTCGAGGCAGAAGCGGAGCACGCTCCCGTGCCCGACGAGCGAGCCGAGCTGGCGGACCACGTACTCAAACAAGCCCTGCCACTCCTGCGGCACGACTCCAGCAGGCCGCCGCGCGTGCAGCGCCTCGCTCGCCGCCGCGTCCGCCCTCGCCGCATCTGCGGCGGCGGAGCGCGCGTCCGCCGCGGCGTGGACCGCCTCGACCGCGGCGCGGAGCGCGGAGAAGAAGGCGGGGACGAGGCGCGCGCGGTCGGAGAGGCAGTCCGAGACGAGGTACTCGAGCTGGCGCGCGAGCTCGCACTGCATCGACGGCACCAGCGGGCGGGTCGGCGTGAGGAGGCGGTAGACGGCGGCGAACCAAAAGTTGGCCGAGACGGTGAGGCCGTCGTGGGGCTCGGTCACGACCTAGTCTCGGGCCGTTCTCGGGTCGATCTCGGGCCGATCTCGGGCGAGGCGATCGTGCGGCGCGTGGAGCCTCGTGCCACCAGTAGGCGGGGAGGAAGAGGGCCTGGCCGGGGCCAAGCAGCACCTTTGGGCGCACGGGGGCGGCGAGGGAGGGGGTGGGCGACGGCGGCAGCGGGTTGGGCGGTGGGGGCGACGGCGGCGGCGGCGAGAGCGGCCGCGGTGAGGGCCGAGGCGGGCTTGGTGGCGGCGGGCTCAGAGGGGGGCGGGCTTGGAAGGGGCGGGCTTGGAAGGGGCGGGCTTGGAAGGGGCGGGCTTGGAAGGGGCGGGCTTGGAAGGGGCGGGCTTGGAAGGGGCGGGCTTGGAAGGGGCGGGCTGCCTCGCTGCAGACCGCCTCGGAGAGGCGCGGGAAGGCGGCCAGGTCGGGAGCCTCGAGGTCGACCTGCGGCAGCCGAGCAGACCCGAGATCAGCCGAGATTGGGCCCCGAGAGAGCGGCGGTCGGTCGGTCGCCTCAGAGGCGGCGGCACCTGGGCGCGTGTGTCGAGCGGGTGGTGGATCGGGAACGGGTAGAGGCACCTAGGGTTAGGGTTAGGGTAGGTTGAGAGGACCGCGAGGACGAGAGACGCCGGGCCAGACCTGTCTGCAGGTGGGCGGTAGTAGGTGCCAATGTGGGAGGAGAAGGACCAGTCTGCAGGTGGGCGGTAGGTGCCAATGTGGGAGGAGAAGGACCAGTCTGCAGGTGGGCGGTAGGTGCCAATGTGGGAGGAGAAGGACCACAGGGGCGGTAGGTGCCAATGTGGGAGGAGAAGGTGCCCGACGTGGGAGAAGTGAGGTCCGTCTGGCCGTACTCGGGTGTACGGGCAGGGGCGCCTCGTCTGCTGCGGGTCGTAGACGCGGAACCGCTTCCAGCCCGAGATCTGCACGAACAAATTGTCGTACTGGTCGAAATGGAGTATCGACCGCGCGCCTGCAAGAAAGCTGCGACACAGTTGCGGGCTCGCTCCACTTCGCAACTTGCTGATCTGGCGGAGGACTCGCGCGCCTGCGGCAGAGGCGCCGCCGACAAAGAGCTGGCAGCGCTGCCACGGGCCGAAGCCGCCCGCCTCGGCAAGCGCCCGAACGGCCTGCAGGTCGATCCCGCTCCCGATGTCGCGCCTAGGGCCAGAGGCCAGGGTCAGGGCCGGGCCAGGGAGTCGAAGGCGGGCAGGTCCATCCCGGGCGCGCCTCATCCCCTCGCCCAAGCCGGCGCAGGGCAGGAGGGCTCCTTGCTGGACCGAGCCGTCGGCAGGCGCCTGCTAATTAATTAGTAATTATTAGTTAATTAAGCGAGCCGTCGGCAGGCTCCTGCGCATCGCATACAGAGAGCGGACGCCTCCCAGTGAAGAGGTGGGTCGCAGGAGCAGCTCCCACCCCTACCGCTGCGGCGGTGGCGTGGGACCCTCCTGCTGGCGCCGGCAGGACCGACACATCTCGACATCTCGACACATCTCAGCGGGCGGCCTGCAGGACCGACTGCTGCAGGTAGAGGCAGCGGCGGCCGTGGCTCGGACCCGCCTGTGCTCGAAGGAGTGGCGGTCATGCGGGCGGCGAGGGCGGTGGTGGTGGAGGCGGCGGCGAGAGCAGGGCGCGGCTCGCGGCGAAGCCCGACGGTGGCGGCGGCGAGGGCGGCGGCGGCGGCGAGGGCGGCGTCGGCGGCGGAGGTAGCGGCGAGGGCGGCGGCGAGCGCGGCGGCGGTCGAAGCGGCGGCGGCGGTCGGGGCAACGCGGGTGGGAGCTGCGCCTGCGCGGAGTCGAGGTACTCGCCGATGCTCATCGTGAGGCTGCTCACCTGCCGGAAGGTTCCGAGAAGGTTCGCGGACGGCCTCGCGCCGCTGCTCCCTCTTGAGTCCGCCGCTCGCCAGCGGCTTCGCCTCGTACCCGGCAGAGACGCGGTCGGAGTGGCTCGCCTGGGAGGAGTGCAGGAAGCTTCTCTGACCCTTCTCTGACCCCTTCTCTGAACCCGGACGAGGCGCGGGCAGAGGTGCTCTCCTGGTCGAACCAGTACGAGAAGCGGCGGCTGGTTGCGGGCGACGAGAGCACGGCGCAAGCGCATCCCTTGAGCTCCTCTCGCAGGTACGCCGCGGAGCCCCACCTGAGGGTTAGGGTCAGGGTTAGGGTAGGGTCCTAGCGGCAGGAACATGTCTTCAGCCAGGGACCTGTCCTCGGCCGCAGGCCACAGCCGCGCGCCGTCGAGCACGCAGCACATGCCGGCGCGCACCAGCTCTAGTGCCGCCGCCGGCAGCGGCCCGCCCGCCCGCCGCCGGCAGTCCGCGACGGGAAGCGCGCGCTCGCAGCGAAAGTACGGCTCGAAGCATGGTGTGCCGTATGCGGCGGCGGCCATCTGCGGCGGAGGCAGTGCAGCGAGCTGCTCGCGCGTCAGGAGCCACAGCCCACCGTCGCGCCGTGCGGCTGGAGGTGGCTGCCAGCCGCGTGCTGCGAACAGCTCCGCAAGCGAATGGAGCACTGCTTCGGCGGCCTCAGAGGCGTCGGCATGCCGTGGAGGCGGAGCAGTGGCAGCGGCGGCGGCGCCCGACCTCCGCTCGAGGCGGAGGCGCAGAGAGGACCGCGAGCACTGCCGGTGGGTGTGAAGGCCTTGAGCACCCATGTCCTTCGGTCGCCAGCAGTCAGTCTCTCCCTGCTCCTCCCAGCACGCAAGGCGGGCCACACGAGGAACACACCGACCAGCCAGCTCACTGATGCTTCACTCTACATGCTTGGGTGTGAACCATAAGAGGTATTTTCTTCTCCGCGTTGGTGTCCAGTCCGAGCCTGGCTGTTCTTCACCTTTCTACCTACCTACCTTTCTTCTCAATAACAAGGCTGTGAATCACGCCCGCTGTGAAAATATTTGGCGGAGGATTTTTTCGCCCCCCAGTCAATAGAGCATGAAAATACCTTTCAGACGGATTCCGGCGTTTTTCATAATCTCATCCTACTACGCTACTAGTACCTTTCCTTCAGAGTCGAAGAACTCGTCCGTGGCTGGCCGCCAAAGTGGCTGGACGGCGCCGCGACGCACACTGGTGCCGCGGAGCACACTGAGGGAGCTGTCCTCGGCGCAGCCGATCGATCGGCTCCCGCGGCCTGGGTGGTGGCAGTGGCACTCTCTGAGGCTCCCTGATTTTTTCTGGTATTTGTTGAGCGCTCTCTGGTCACCTTCGCCGGGCGAGCCTGGCTCTCGCTGCACAGCGGCGCGACCCGCGGTGAGGCTACCGATCGTCGAACGGGGCTTAATTAATAGCTCTCAGTCAAGATATTGCGCATATGGTCGGTCTCTACAATATCTTGACTGAGGGCCACTGAGCACCACCGATGAATCGGCAGCAGAGAGACAGGAAGGCTCGCTGTGTGAGTCGGCCACGCAGAGGGTCGGAACCTGCGTCGCAAGAGGCTATTGCACGCCGGGAAGAAATGCGCCAGCTACCGAGCGCAACAGTTGGACCTTGTTGAGGCAAGCCACAGGCCGGTCCGGCAGTCCCTTCTCTTCGTATTCATGAGGCGGAGGGCCGCCGCGCTCAACGCGGAGGGCCTCGAGCTGAATCGGAACGGTGACACGCGCGAAGCGCTCCGCTGCTTCGACGCAGCGCGTCGGATGGTGCCAGGTGAGCCGCGCTTCGCGCTGTCGGCCGCAAACATGCTCCTCAAGCTGCACATGCCGGCTCCAGCACTGGCGCTGTACACGAGGCTCCTCGCAGCCGCGAGACATTCCGAACTGCCACCTCGGTTGTATTCTCTGGCGACGGCCAAGCGCGACGAGGCGGCTGCGGCAGTCCGGGCCGGTGTCGGGGTCGGCGGCCAGCCGCAGCCTGGGCCAGAGGCACCGAGGCTGCTGGACAAGCTGGGCGGCGGCTGCTACGGCTCCGTCTGGCGCGGGCGCGAGGGGTCCGGGCGCGATGTCGCCGTCAAGATAGTGCCGCTGCAGGAGGGTCTCGCGCCGGGCGAGGTGCAGCTCGAGCTCGAGGCGCGAGATCAGGTATGGCTCTTGTTGGGAGCTGTGTGAATCTGATGAAAGGTGCAGCTCGAGCTCGAGCGCGAGATCCTGCTCCTGCGCTCCTTCTCGCACCCGCACATCGTCCCGTTCCTGGGCGCCTTCCCGCTCCCCGGTGCGGGGGAGGTGTGGGTGCTGCTGGAGCTCTGCGAGCGCGGCTCGCTGCAAGAGGTCGTGAGGGCGGTGGGGACATGTCTAGCACGCTGGGCAGACCCTCCTCGGGGCGCGCTCGGAGCCGTTTCTCCTCTCTCTTCTAGGTGGGGCCTCCCTCGGACGCCGAGGCGGCCGCCGCTGCGCACGACGTGCTGCAGGGGCTGCGGTACCTGCACGTGGAGCGGGGCACGCTGCACCGTGACGTCAAGGGCGGCAACCTGCTCCTCACCCGGGGAGGGGTGGTCAAGATCGCAGACTTTGGCGTCTCGAGCTGCATCGGAGACCTCTCCCCTCCTTCAGCGCCACCGGGAGGAGGCTCGCTCTTCACACCTCCAGCTGTGAACAGGCGACCTCTCCGCCTCGAGCGTCACCGGGACCCCCCAGTGGATGGCCCCGGAGGTGACATAGGGTTAGGGTGAGGGTGAGTTAGTCCCCGGGACCCCCCAGTGGATGGCCCCGGAGGTGGCCACTTCACCTTCACCCTCACAGCCCTTTCCCCCTTGCCCTTGGCCCGCCAACCCCCCCCCCCCCCCCGGCCAGGTCATCACGGGCGAGGCGCGCGGCGCCAATATCGACATCTGGCCATATGCATATGATATGTGTCATGTGTTATAATGTCACTTGATGTACTATGCGAGGCGTGCGGCGCTTCCTCCGACATCTGGTCGCTCGGCATCACCCTCATCGAGCTCCTCGACGGCACTCCGCCCCTTGCCGACGTCTCCGCGCCGATGGCGGCGATGCTGCAGATCGCGCATGGCCCGCCGCCCGCCGCCCGCCGCCAGTGCTCCGCGCCGCTGCTGCTGCTGATCGAGGTGTGCCACGCACGCACGCACGCACGCACGCACGCACGCACGCACGCACGCACGCACGCACGCACGCACGCACGCACACGCACGCACACGCACACGCACGCAACCACCACGCACGAAGTTTGCCGGACCTGTCCCCAGGCCTGCCTGCGTAAGGAGCAGCAGCGGCGGCCGACCAGCGACGAGCTGCTTCGCGGCGCCGAGAGTAGCCGAGATCACGCCGAGATTGGAGCTGGCGTCGCCTGGCCGCTTCTGCGCCGTCTCGTGATCGCTCTCAAGGGCCTAGCAGCCGTCTCGTGATCGCTCTCAAGGGCCTAGCGGCCGTCTCGTGATCGCTCTCAAGGGCCTAGCGGCCGTCTCGTGATCGCTCTCAAGGGCCTAGCGGCCGTCACAGAGGCCGTCACCGCGTCTCTGATCGCTCGACAGGCGCCGCCGCCGCCGCCGAGGCGCCTGCCGAGCGAGCGTTGCCGCCCGGGTGATGCGGCTTGGCGGAGTGGCGAGCTGTGAACGGCGTCTCTTCTCACGACTCGCTGCGAGCAGGTACCGCGCGCCGCTGGAGGGGCGCGACGCGCTGTACTGCTTGGCGGAGCGGGTGGCGCGGGCGGGCGCGGCGGGGGAGGAGGGCGAGGAGGGCGAGGAGGGCGAGGAGGCGGAGGCGGCGGAGGCGGCAGAGGCGGCGGAGGCGGCGGAGGGCGCGGGGGCGGAGGGCGATGCGGAGGGCAAGGAGGAGGGCGAGGAGGCGGGGGGCGTGAGGCGGCCGAGGAGGCGCGGCCGTGACGTGCCGAGCGGAGGTGTGCAGCAGCGCGCGAGGGCTGCCGCGGTCGCCCGCCGCGGCGGCGGCGGCGGTGGCGGGCGCAGGAGGGGCAGGAACACGCTCGAGCTGAGTGCGGCGGAGCTGCGGCGGGTTTGGGACTCCAGATGCGGAGGAGAGCACACCTGTATTCGAGCAAGCAGTGCACACGTACTCGGCTGCGGTCAGAGCTGCATCCGTAGCTCGTGAGTCCGCACGAGGCGTGCTCTGCTCGGCAGGCGCAGCGCCGGCTGATGCGCACCGCCGACGGGGCGCCTCCCCCCACCGAGGAGCTGGCCAAGGCGGGCGCTCTCTGGGCGGTCCGACGCGAGGCGCTCGCCGAGCAGTCCTGCGCCGAGGGACGCCCGTTGAGTGATTGAGTAACGCAGCCCCTCCATCGGTCCATCAGGCGCTCGCCGAAGTGTCGCGCGCCGAGGACGCTGCAGACACGCCTCTGCTCGCCGGACGAAAGATGTCGTCGCAGGCCTCTGCTGCCGCCGTCATCCTCCTCGCCGCCGCCGCCGCCTCCGCTTCACTCCCCACCGCCGCTGCCACCTCCACTGCCTCCGCCCCTCCCGCCAGCTCCGCCGCCACCGCAGCAGCTGCAGCCGACGACTCCATCGCAGACGCGGGCGGCTACTTCTCGGAGATGACGTCGCCGTCCTCGTCACGCCACACCTCCGCCGCCACCTCCGCCGCCACCTCCGCCGCTTCCGCCGCCACTTCCGCCGCCACTTCCGCCGCGAGCTCCCCCGCCGCCTCCCGCCCATCCTCTCCTCGAGAGAGCGGCTCGGCGCTCCGGAGCGCCGACAGCCTCCGCAAGGAGAACGAGGACCTGAGGAGGCAGTTGCGGCTGCTGGGGGCGAGCCCGCCGGCTGCAGAGGCGGACGATGAGGCGGCCAGCAGCAGCACGCTCAGCGACGACGTGGCGAGCACGTCTGGCCCCGCGAGGGGAGGGAGGTGGTGGCGGCTCGGGTCCGGGCGCGGCCCCGGCTCGCCCACTCTCGGCCGCGCCTCACATGCATCGAGCTCCGGCCGAAGCTCCGGCTCGGGGGGCGCGTGCAGCCCCGCGGGCGGGCGGAGGCGGTGGGGGACGCCCGCTCGCGCCAGGGCCAGAGCCGAGGCTGGCGGCGACGAGGCCTACCGCTCATCCGGGCCGCGCAGGAGCCCGCTGCCCCGAGTCTCGGTAAGAAGCGTCGTGAAGTGATTGTGTGCGGATATTCGTGTCTCGGCTGTCGGGGGCTGTCTTTTCACACTTTTGGCTTTTCCGAGCGCGTGTATACGTGTGCGCTGTGTCCGGGTGTCGCGTGTGGCTGTGCGTGACTGTGCGAGAACTCGTGGAGTTTTTGCGGTGCCTCTTCTGCCTGTGTGAGGTAAGGTAAGGTAAGGTAAACTTCTCCACAGACCACACACACGAGGTGGTGGGGCAAGGGGGGGCAACCTCCTCGCGTCTCCACGTCTAACGACAGGAGCCCCACGGCATTCAAAGTGCAAGGCCCGGTGCGCGTGGGTGAGCGGTGTGTGTGTGTGTGTGTGTGTGTGTGTGTGTGTGTGTGTGTGTGTGTGTGTGTGTGTGTGTGTGTGTGTCACGTCACTGCATCCTCTGCCGGTTCCTCCCGTCGCCTCTTCTTTGTTCGAATGTTTTTCAATCCATCCTTCACGAAGCCCTCCCATGTAGCTAGCGTTCTTTGCGAATGTCTCGAGATGGCCAGCAGGCGCTGTCTGCTCGCGGCCTGTGTGAGCTGGCTGAGCTGCGTGTGGTCGTCTGTCGTCTGAGCCGCGCATGTCTCCTGCGCCGGGAAATCGGAAAAGGCCGAAAACACACCACGGAGCACGGTCACACGCTCTCACACGACTCACACACACGTGAGTCACCAGTCACGACCGCTGTGCGCTGTTCCGTTGTGGAGTGTGGGGCTGGGGGGGAGGGCGGGGGTGCGCGGTGCCGCCCGTGTGCCGTGAGCGTGACGCCGTGAGATGCGACGCCTTGACCCTCTGCCTCTCTCGGGTTGCTTTTTTTTTACACTCTTCACTCTTTGTGTCGTGTTTGTGTCGTGTGCCTCGTGGGAAGTGCGCGGTCCGCGGTGCGCGGAGTGTGTGTGTGTGTGGCGACTGGTTGGTCCTTTGCGGAGCGTGAGAGGTGTGGGTACGGTACGCACGAGTGCTACGAGAGAGATTGCTCGCGGTCTCGACTGTAACAGAGAGAGTTAATGAGGCGGGCACAAGGTACAAGAGCCTCTGAGGTGGGACAGCGCACCCTCAGACACGGCACACCTCTCCCGACAGGCCTCTCTAAGGCGATGGCTCTCTCCGCATCGATGCGCATCACCGGCGACGTACCTATGGGCCATGGGCCATGTACCCGCTGCGGCCTCCCGCCTGCTGCGCGCCTTTACGGCCTCCCTATCCCCGCCCCAAACCGCCGTGGGACAAACAGCTCCGGGCCATTGTCGACCGAATCACACCAGGGAGGGCTTTGGCGAGGGCTTTGGCGCGGACTTGTAGGACTGAAAGGGGGAGGGGGGGGAGCTCAGGCGGGCGGGCGGGGGCGGGGGGCCGGGGGCGGGGGGCGGGGGGCGGGGGGGCGGGGGGG